CCGTGCCACGGTTTTTGAAGGCGCGACCGGTACCATTTCCTCTGATAAAACAAGTTGAGGAACAATTAAAATGCATGGTGAATGAAGGTATATTAACCCCTGTAAAATACTCTAAATGGGCTATTCTATTAAGAATTGTAAAAAAGGATGACGGCTCACTTCGAATATGTGGTGACTACAGGTCAACTGTTAATCTGGCTAATATTTCCAATATGGACCATCGATTTCAAAGCCCATATTTTTTTTGTAGATAGTACTCACTAAAAGAAAGCGTTTTGCAAAGTTTTAGGTTGCGGAAACTTACGGTTCATAAGATATATTTTTTTAAACTTTTCATAGAAATTGGTAACTAACACGCAATTACAAAATAAATTTGACAAATGATTGATGTCAAACGTCAGTTAGTGTAGGGTTCCGAATATTTTGAAAGTATCGATACCTACTCGATACAAAGTATCGTATCAAAAGTATCAATACTACTTGGTATAGAGTACATTTCGTTAATTTTGGAGACGAAAAGTTATGACAAACCAATTAGATGCATAGGAAGAGCTGATAAGTGCAATTATATATGTATATAAAGTAGAATAAAGTTTACTCTATTTAAGTTCCACCTTAGTACTGCATTTCATTGTTTGCAACTTTCTGTATTATCTAATTCTTACTACAATAAAGTGTTTACTTACTTATTGACTTATTTAATATCCAAAAAGTACCCAAAACCGAATCAGAGCACCCACGTGGTCTTGTCTGCCCTACCCCTAGAGTGTATATAAGAGCCCGGAGGCGCGGAGGGAGAGCAGTGCCAGCCCGCCGCTACGGCGATCTCGGTGCCTGCGCTTCCCTACGCTAGGGCGGAGGCACTGCTCATCCCGCAGCGCCGGAGCTGCCACGGAGCGCCGGAGCACAACTTCCCATATGATTGATGCAGAGGGATTGCACCCATCACCTACTAAAGTGAAAGAGATAAAGGAGAAACCAGCACCGATGAATAAAAAAGAAGAACTACGGGCATTTTTAGGGTTATACAATTTTTATGAAAAATTCATTATGGACAAAGCTACAATACTGGAGCCATTGCATCGATTGCTGGAAGCAAAGAAACCTTGGGTATGGGGTTTGCTGGAGCAGGTTGCATTTGATAAAGCTAAGGATTTGTTGTCATCAGATTTAACCTTAGTTGGATATGACTTAAAAAGAGAGTTATTGTTAATCTGTGATGCATCAGAATATGGTATAGGTGCAATAATTGCCCATGTAATGGAGAATGGGTCAGAACGAACAGTGATGATGGCATCCAGAATGTTACAACCCCACGAGCGACGTTATGGACAAATTGATAAAGAAGCTTTAGCAATAATTTTCAGGATTACAAAATTTCATGAATTTTTACTAGGAAGGAAGTTTTGTATTATTACAGATCATAAACCATTAATTGGATTATTTAACCCGAATAAACCTATTCCGGATCAGATTTCACCTAGAATGTTGCGATGGTCTCTGAAGTTGGCGTGTTATGAATATGACATAAAATACAGACCCGGAAAATGCATTGGTAATGCAGATGCTCTCAGCCGTTGGACTTCTATTAACGCAGCTGAAGTGCGAGGGATGGATTCGTTAGCGGATGTGCTACTTTTGGAGGAACCTCCCTCTGGATTCAACTTGGATGCAGCAAAAATTGCTTCTGAGAATAAAAAAGACACAGTACTACAAAAGGTTTTATTTCATGTGCTACATGGATGGACTTGCAAAAATACTGATCCCATACTTCAGCCGTATTGGACGCGAAGAGAGGCTCTTTCACATAATAAAGAGTGTTTATAGTGGTGTAACAAAGTCATTATACCCGCTTCTTTACAAAAGCAGGTATTAAAGGTATTGCATGCACCGCATGCTGGAATCGTCCAAACAAAAGCCTATGCTAGAGGATATGTATGGTGGGTCGGTATGGACGCTCAGATAGAGACAATATGAGAGGCCACAGTGACTGGTTGTGAGCTGTGTTAGGCCGTGAGAAACTATCAACCAAGACATCCGCATACATTGATTTTACCTGACAAGCCATGGAGTCGTGTCCATGTTGATTTTGCAGGACCATTTCAAGAGAAGACATTTTTGTTATGATTGACAGCTATAGCAAATGATTTGAGGCAGATATTTTATCTGAGTAGTGGAGCTCTAATAGCAAGTTGTCGCAGGATGTTTGCTTCGCAGGGATTGCAAGAAAAATTAATTTCGGACAACGGTACAATTTTTAGCTCAAGAGAATTTAATAAATTCCTGCAGAACAATGGCACGAGCACTTGTACTCACCCCCATATCACCCGGCAACGAACGGACAAATCGAACGGGCGATACAGACCTTCAAGAACAAGCTCAAGAAAATGTCTGATGCAGGTGTATCATGGACTGAGAAACTACCTAGGGTGTTATACTCTCTCAGAACGGTGCCGAATCACCTCGGTAAAACTCCTGCAGAGATGTTGAATGGACGTAAATATAAAACTGCGGTGTCGGCCCTTCATACCGATAGCAGGCCAGAGTGCTCTGAGCGACAGCTGGAGGAGGCAGCACAGCGTGCGCCCACCCGAGCCTTCGCGCTCGACCAGCCCGTGCTGGTGCGTGCCTATGGGCCAGGAGAGAAGTGGCGACGCGCAACCATTGAGTATATCGAGGGCCCTGGTTGTTATAAGGTGAGAACGGAAGATGGACTGTTAATCCGTCGACATGTTGACCAAATACTGGCGCTATCTACTGCCGTAATCTAGAACCAGACCCCCCGATGACCTGCCAATACCTCAATCACGTAGAAGATCAAATTCGTCTTCGGGTCTGACCCACCAATACAAATACCACCACCAGAAATGTGGCCGGAAATTATGGGCATACCAAGTACTGATTAATATTGTAATTAAAGTTTGGCAAAAAGCTGTTGGTCATTGGTGATTAGAAACAAATAATGAAAGACAATAATTAAAATGGTTTATTTCAACTTAAGTCCTTAACTATGATTGTAACCATGTTATTGGGATAGAAAGGTATTATGTTATGTATTGATAATGTTAAGGGTAAAATTGTTATATATATGGAAGGTAGATTTGATTAAGGAGTTTGTATTGCTACTTGCGCATTATCTTTTCCCATTCAGCGAACTTTAAAATGTCCTCTCATATTGTTGCAGAAGAAAAATTAGAAGTTTTTTAATTAAAATATGATTAGAATAAGAATCTTAGAGTTTTGTGTAAACTTCTTTAGTAAATATCTTATCTGCTTTTATACATACTAATATTAAACTGTAAATTTCCTCAACTTTGGTGATAATATTTTAAATATGTGACGTCTTTTGATGTAGATTGTGAACTCACACATAAAATTGAGAACCCTTATTGGGTTGGGTTTACAATTCGGTCGCCTGAATTTGAAGATTCTGTCACTGTGGGGGGAGTCAAGGGGGTTTATCTGAAGCACCCCCGCTCGATTTTTTCTGCCGGAGCAGCGTCGAAGTATTTTTAATTATTTTTTAAAAATATTGGTAAATGACTAATTTAATTACGTTTTTGACGTTTCATCTGTCAATGTCAAATCGATATATAGTACTGAATCGATCTAGTGAATCGATATTTCACCCTAGAGAATCGAGATCGAATCTTTTTCCGTTTTATTTAGATTTGCAAAATTATTTACAATTGGTTGCATGTACCCCAACTCGTAAAGAATGACAGTTTTTAATTTAATTATTCAATGTTATCTGTACTTTATTGTATCTTTTGATATCGTAAATATAAACTTTTAACGCAAATAAAAAAAAACGATTTTTGCGAAATTGATCTTTAAGATTTCGATTTTTTGTGAATCGATTCATCTAATTTCGATTTGAATCGATTTAAAAATATGAAAAATTAAATCGCTATGCCGACCATTTTGTTGACAGCTTTTCCTCACGGTGATGCTTCCGAGTTTCAGAATTTTGGTGAATAGTGAAATATTTGTGGCGGCGGAATACTGCTAAATATCGCAAAGATCTTTTCTTACAAATGGTGGCAGCCATAAATTATGTTTATAAATTAAAGTAGTTACGAAAGTTAATAATTTGGTGTTATATCGAGTGCAATAGCGAGCGAAGCGAGCCTAGGACGTGGAGCACCCCGACTCGGACAGGTTAGGTTAGAAGAGGATGACGGGGTCGTGTGAGCGAGCGAAGCGAGCGAATAGACCCCATCATCCTCTTCGTGGTTATTTTTTTTGTAAACCACTTAGAAGCGGGGCTCCGTCGACCGGACCTCCTTCGACTGCACCACGTTAAGTGGCGTGGGGCTTCCATCCTCCAACTCTCTCTACCCATAAATCAGGTTAAAATTGTCATAAAATTACGAAACATAACCTCAAAATGAGATTTTAAAAATTAATAAAAAAAAAAACTAAGCACGTCCGGCAGAAAGTGGAAGTAGGGGGTGACTGTACAACTCCTCCCCCCTCCCCCCACGCCACCCCCCACCCCCAAATTCAGGCGACCGAATTGTAAACCTTACCCCCCTTATTTTATCCATTATAAACTTGTCACTTCCATGACTGACTTGAGACTGGCAGAATTCTATTAAGAGAAACTATATTTAAAAAGAAGAAGAAGAAAAAGTCAACCAGTTTTTCATTAGTTTTGCTACCTAGCACAGTACACATATTTACCTAAATTAGTGTTTTATTGGATCTAACAGAAAGAAAGAAGAAAGATGGGTGTGTGAGTGCATGTCAAGAAGTTGAGCATGATTTTGGCATCACTAGAAATATAAGCAGCACCCCATCTATCATTAGTTGTTATGAGAAATATGCTTCTAATTTTATTTGTAAATTGACCTACTCTTCTCAGTTGGTAACATTTTTTTCATCATTTGTTTAACATGCTATGTAAGTATTGTTTATATGAGTGAAAAAGTGGGAGTTAACTTTTCGTTGCCCTTAGAGGTTTTGTAAAATTCAGCCATATAAGGCATTTTACATACCTGTAAAATATATTTACTGTCGTCGCTCCAAGATATGTCCCTTAGTATCCCATCGTAACAGCCGTAAGACTTTTTTAAATCCCAACTGTTGGTGTCATATAGAAGCAAGCGGGAACTGATAGACGATAAATACATTATCACAATTAAACCGATTGGTTATTTATATTAATTATTCTAATAAATCACAATGAAATAGTATAAATAAACTTCTTCTTCTTTTTCCTCTATGGCGGTTACTAATTTACCATAGATTACTGTAGCTTGCTACATATTTATTTATCTATGGATTACTGTATATAATTATATACTATGATATATATATTATAGATTTATGATCGTAGACAGAGAAACCTAGGTTACTCTTCTCTGTCTACGGGTTACTCTGTCTACGTTTATGATGATGATGTTGTTCACAGACTAATATGATATATACGTACGTTACGTATATGTTGTTGTTTTTATCATTCGCTCGAGAGAGCAGGCAAAGGAACTAAGCCATACAGCCTGCGGTTACGATGAATTTCCTGATTCCTGTACAACAATCATAGAGGAAAGTAATTAATCGGACAACAAAATCAGGATGAATTTGCCAAAGGCCAAAGTCAATGACAATGACAATATAAAATGACGACAGACAGAGAATTTCTCTATCTACGTATAAAACAATGCACATTACCAGATCCAAAACGATTAATTTCCCTTTGTGAAGTGGCCAATCTAAAAATAATAATTTATTCAGAATTTAAAACCGTTTCATTATCATTTTGAGTATTAAACCCTAAGAGTAATGACATAGATACATATGCATAGAGAGAACCTACAATTCAACATAAATTAAGTCAATATACTTGTCTCGCTTTTTCTTATTTAATTTTTGAATAAGGCAAAAATAGACAAATATCTATTGAAAGATGTTGCGTATAATTTCATGCGCGGAAATAGAAATGTCAAGTGGTCATCTTTGATCTCTTTTTACTATGCCAAATATGAGAGTAAGTACACTCGTATGTTCTGATTTACTAGAAAAATGACATCCCTATTGTAGTAGTATTATGTGTGACGTTACTGTATAAGACATTATTGTCCATTCATCGTAACTTGACGCGTGATCCGATTGACAGCCCTGTAATTTACAGTGTTGCATGTTTCAATGCGAATGGCGTTCCCGAAATGTAGAGACAGGCATTATGGAACGGGATATAAGAGCATGTACGCATGCATCTCAAGCACGCGGTTTGCGGGTTCAAACTTGGCGTGTACAGTCGAATACACTTAGCGCTAACAGTTAAACCTTAAAAACGTTTTTATTTCGTATGAGTAAGGGCATTAATTTCGTAATTAAATTGTTACTATGAAGGTGCTAAAGACTATACATATGTGACTTTTAAGTGTCGTAGTGTACTCTCTGAAACAATTCATATATCAATAGGAACATTTAGGATAAATCAATTAAGACAGGGTTAAAGAGAATTACTTTATATATTATGATCAATAAGGCGTAACGGGATCATATATTCTTCAATGTTACTTGGATGCTCACTGTCACTACCACTTTCGTCACTGTCACTGCCACCCCACAATAAAAAGTGATCACTCCATCTATTATTTTATCTTTCACTATGTACTCATCTTCAATTTTTATAACACGTGAGCACTCTTTCTCCCAAAGCTCATTGCTTATTGAGCCAAACAATTCCTTTATAAGTGATTACGCTTGATCATCTCTCTAGCCCACATTTTTCTCTGCGAACCGTCTCTTCATATTAGCTCAATCGGATTTAAATCCGCATGATTTGGGCGCATAATTGTGCGCACCAAAAATATGATGAATGCGGTGAAAAAACTAAAAATAGGTTTTAAAGAGAGAGAGCAAGTGGACTGTACAACGGTACAACTGGACAAGCGGTAGAACAAATACCTCATGAAAGTGTTAACAAATGAATAACAAAATGAAAAAAAAGAAAAAAGTCGGACCGAAGACCGGACGAACGAAGGCAATACGATTCCGCGACCGCTCGATATTCACTTGAGCTATTACGATTATTAACACAGCATCAAAATTTACCTTCTTATATTGTAGTAGTTTTTAATTGCCTGAAAACACGGACAAAAAAAAATTTTCTAAAAATAAACCTTAGCTAGATCGATTTATTGCCCCCGAAACTCCCTGGACCCGTTTCCGAGATTCCGATTATATATATAATCGGAATCATAAAGTACCCGGATGACAAATTACATGAATAATATTTTTTGATCTTATTGACATAATAGAAAAAACTGAACTGGTTATTTGAATGAAAATCATGAGTGCAATTAGTTTAATTAAAATTTTTCTTATTTTTAAAAATTACTAAAAAAAGGGCTCGAAATTATAGATTTTCTCACAAAAGAAGGGAATTTGAAAAAAAAAGGAACCACATTAAATTTTTTAAGTAGTTGTGTGCCTTTTTTGTGCCACTGCATAGAGGCCTTTTTGGACTCAGGTTCATAACTGTGAACCCAAATTTCTTCACCAGTAACAATTCGAGCCAACACTCCATCTTTGTCTTCCATACAGAGATCCAAATACGCACGAGCACGAACAATCCACGCGCTGTTGCTTTTTAGGCGGCGTGAGCATTCTGGGCAAGGCAATGTTATGGAGAATTTTGAAAATGGTTGTATCTGATACTCCAACCATTTCTGTGAGCTTTTTTCTTTAGGCGGGCATCTTCTAATATAAATTTTTTGACTTTCTAAATAACTTCCGAAGTGGTCACCTCGATAGGCCTTCTTGGCCTTGGGTTGTCTTCAAGTGACTCTCTGCATTATTTAAAAAGAAAGGGCTCGAAATAATAGATTTTCTCACGAAAGAAGGGAATTTGAAAAAAAAAAGGAAAAAAAAGTCGGACACAATACGGGACGCGAACCACGGAACTCCGATATCACGACCGACCGACATCCCACCTGAGCTATTACGATCGTTAGTAGTCTGTCAAAATTTACCTTCTTATATTGTAGCAGTTTTTTTATTGCCTGAAAACACGGACAAAAGGACATTTTCTAAAAATAAATCCTAGCTAGATCGATTTATTGACTCCGAAACTCCCTGGACACTACATTTTATGAAAATCGTTGGAGCCGTTTCCGAGATTCCGATTATATATATATATATACAAGAATTTCTCGTTTAAAGGTATAGGATTATAACGGAAAAGTCATAGGGCCTTTCGAGTTACCAGAAGTTTTAAATGCTGAAATTTATTTAGATTTTTTACAAAATCATTTACTCAATTTGCTGGAGGAAGTGTCGCTTATTATTTTCAGAGATATGTGGTTCCAACAAGATGGTTGTCCAGCGCATTATAGCCGCTTAGTTCGTAAACACCTTAACGAGGAATATCCGGACAGATGGATAGGGCGGGCTAATCCGATCTCGTGGCCCGCCCGCTCACCCGATTTAAATCCTCTAGATTTTTTTACTGGGGAGCAGTGAAGGAAAAAGTATATTCCAAGCTGATTGAAAATGTAGAAGAGCTTAGACAGAGAACAGCGGAAGCAGTTGAATTTTGTAATAATGGAAGATTCGCCCGCCTGATTTTGCAATCTTTTTTAAGAAGATGTCGGGCTTGTATTTCAGCTCAAGGATGGCAATTTGAATATCATTTGTAAAATAAGTAATAAATTTCATCACAAAAACGAAACTGACTGTCTTAATTTTATAACCATTATTTTATTACTTTAGTTTGTATTTGCGTCTGTGTCTCATAAGCGTCACTATCTGTCTCGCTCACACTTTATGGAATGTCTCTCTTTATCTCATTTAAACCACGCTGTGGTAATTATGAACGTTTTGGTTGCACTAGAATCGTTTTAATGTAAGTTCCAAAAAATTGTTAAAAACTGACTTTGTTTAACAAAAATTTTTTTATGACTGATCTAAGAAATAATGTAAATATATATATATATATATATATATATATATATATATATATATATATATATATATATATATATTGTAGTAGTAGTAGTAAGAGTATATAAAAGTACACACACAAGTGTAATATTAATGATGACGACTCCGTGGCGCAGTGGCTTAGCAATGAGTAGCTGCGCTGGGGGTCGCGGGTTCGAATCCCGCACGGAACAAGTATTTGTATGGCCTACATATATTTGTTCCGGGTCTGGATGTTTGTCCTTGTGCAATTTATGTTTGTAAACTGCCCCCACGATACAAGAGAAAATCTTAGTGTAGGGGTAACTTTTTTTAAAAAAAAATAAGTAAGTAAAAATAAGTAAATAATCCTATATAATCAAATTTATTAATACAATAAATGGAGTCTTATATCATCATTCGTTTGTTCAACTCCTCTCCTAACATTCGCCCTACATGACAACCCTGCCGAAGTAATTCGCGACGCGAATATGACACCCACTGCCGTATTTTTAGACTGAAACATTTTTTTTTTGTGTGCAACTGATGAACTAAATCAAACTATGGTGTTCTATCGTGATCTGCGCGACTGTGTACACGTGTTTAACAAAAAGTTAAAACGAAAAATAACATCCAAGATGGGCGGCAAACAGACTAAAGAAGAGACCGTAATTGTGCAAAACGCAGTGGGAAGCAATAAGGCAGGAGTTGAACAATTGCAATTTCACCTGACTACGAGTAATATTTTGCTGTCTATCATTGTGCTGGTACTTCTACTGGGGTCCCTATATTGCTTGTATCGGACATATAGGCGATGTCATATAAAGTGGATTAACACAGAGATAAACAGAAATACCCTAAGAAGGTCTATTTTTCGGCAACCACAACCCCCACAAATGTGGAAGAGGCAAGTCAACCAAGGGCGTATTATAAAGTATGACCGGCGCTGATCGAAGTTTAAAAGTGGCGTTTACGTGCATATAAAATGAGTAAAAAGTGCGTGTCTATTAATAGTGCAAAAAAGGGTATTGTGTTCATAAATCAACTACATTAATATGGGACTCTAGTCTATATTACTAAACTTTATATTTTAAATTAAATAATGTATTCGTTGTACTGTGTTTAATCGTCATTTAACCGTATTATTATTATATTAAATATTTCGTAAAATTATTTATAGTATACTCTATTCTACGTATTATAAATTTTAATAATAAAGTAA